AGTAAAAGTCACATTATAGTACAACGCCAAAAATTAAGAGTAGTTAGAACTCATGTATTAGCTACACCACATTTGAGGTACAGGCTGACAGTTTAAGGTTAGTTCAGAATGTTCTTCCTATTTATTCAGGTAGTTTGTCTTTATTTTACATTCAAATGTACTGTGACCTAACTTATAAAACAACAATGACATCATCAGAGATTCATAGGAATCATATAAAACATGTTATCTTTTGCATATTATATAAAATATTTAGGAGTATTTTCAGAACTCTGTGTTTTTGAAAATATTAGGTCCATTCATTGTTTTAGACACAATTTTATTAATTTTCAGGATGTAAAAACTGGTTTACTGTTAAAGAAAGTTAATTTTAAAGTGTCCATACTTTAATGTGAACGTGCTACAAGACTAATGCACTTGAAAATTACTGTACATCATTGATTACTTGAGATTTAGTGATGTGAATAAAAATATTATTTTTCCCCCATATACACTTGAAAACTTTATAAGCTCGAGAGCCAGAAGTACATGACCAATCTTATCCTCAGAACCACAGACAAATACCTGACAAAGCTATCATTCAATTTTTTTCCTTAAAAAGATTGTCTGATATTTTTCCCTGTCTTACTGAGTTTCTGTTTATTCTTTTAAACCAAACACCAAATAAGTTACTTTTTTGTTAATAATGAGTTCTAAAATTCGTTGTTATAATGTGGGATAGTTAACCCTGTTAAAATGTGGTATTTTTGTGTTTGATAACACATACCCTTTAATAACATTTAAAATATTGTTTGTTTAACATTTTAATTATAGTTTTAAAAGTATTTGCACCATATCAGATCAAAGACATATCTAGGCTGATGTATCTGATGGCTTGTAGTGGATATCTAGGGAAAACTGTAAGAACCAGGATACTATGGTGGTACTACCCTGGCATATTCTCCTGTTTCCAGCAATATGTGATTTGGGATTCTCAGAGTATTGGGTGGTATCTTTGTGAGTAGCCTGTCATGAATTTTAATCTCCCTTGAAATGGTGTAATGGTCTTTAAAATGTAAAATTTTAATACCTACAGTGTTTGATCAAAATGAGTTTCATGCTGGAATTGCACATTTTGAGAAATACCTTATTTTGTTTTGAATCTGTTCAAACCAGAAAGTTTTACTTGTTATCAACTTGTACTAAAAGTAACAACAAACAATTATACCCTATTTACTTTCTTATACCGTTAATGATTTTATAAAAAATTGCCATGTTAATTCCTGAGTTGTTCTTTCTACTTAGTTACTGAAGGCCATTCTCTCTGCTAAATTTTGTAACTCTTTTATGTATCATTTCTATTTCTACCATATCTTTTAGAGTTTGTTGAATTGAAATGTTATGAAGTAATCAAAGCCCTTCACACAGTGGTTTTGTGCAATGACGTAAGGGTAATGATTTCTGCTGGTGTTTATTTTTGGCGGTCTTGGGTTTGTGTGTGTGGTTTTTCTGCTGTTGTGGGGTGGGGTTGTTTTTTTTGTTTGTTTCTTTGGTTTCTTTTTTAAACCTGTGAAGACTTGGTTGCTGAGCAAATATTTTATAGAATTACCTATCAAAGCTGAAGTCCATTCTTGATGGATAATGTCATCTACACACAACTTTACACACTCATATAAACTGATTTTTCATCTTTAATTTTATTTCTTCATTAGACAGTGTCTTGATGTCCTTCAGTTCATGGATATCATCTTTTGTACTATGTGTGCACTTTGTTACCTTACTTGTCACCCTGTTTTCCAAATCACTTATTAACATATAAAACTGTATGAACTCTGCTGTGTAACAATTAAAACTGGTTCTCTCTTACCTGTGTGTTTATTTACATCTTCAAAGGAACTTTAATAAATTTGAGGCCCAATTTCTCTTTTCAAAAGCCATGTTAGTACTTTTTTACTTTTATTACATTCATCCTTATGTCTGTAGTTTTACTTCATCTTATTAATATTTCTGCCAGTTTGCTTGACATGAATGTAATATTTTTCTGACCTGTAGTTTCAGGGATCCCAATTGTAGCCCTTTCAAAGAATTTGGTTTACTGTTGTCATTTTCCATTCCTTTGCTACAAGGCGATTGTAAGTGAGAGATTACATACTACTGATAATAATTAAACGATTGCATTCTTTAACTTCATTAGAACTGTTGGAAGAATACCATCTGTACCTGATGACTTCTTATTTTAATTTTGTGAATTTGTTTGATAGCCTATTCTGCTAACACTGTAGTTTGAGACAGATCAACACTTCCTTTTGTAAAGAAGGTACCTGATTTGTGAGTCTGCTTAAGCTCCTGTGTTATGAAAAACAGACAGAATAAAAGAAAGTCAGTTTTCTCCTTGAAAAGTACTCTAAACGATTGTTATATACTCTGATCATTTTTTTTTTTTACTTTGGAGTCTCTAGTTAGCTATCTGCTTTGGATAAAAAGTTCAGTATTTTTATGTCTTTAACATACCAGAATTTACAATCTTACCTACTGAATCACTGATCATGCTTGTAACTTTTTAAAAGAATACTTCCTTTGATAATTATAATAGTCACCTTTACCTGCTGTTTTAATTAAGACTGTGATATCTTTCCAGGTGGCATGGAATCCTCTTAGCTTTTAAAATAGTTCCTCTTCTTGAAACTAATCACTGCTGTAGTGAATTTTTTTACTTTGTTCCTTCTGGGAGATAACAGTCTGCATAATATACTCAGATATTATAAAGTGGTCCTCCAGCAGAAACTTTTTGATCTAAGTTCTGCAAACTGCTTATGATTAAGTCAAGACTTATTCATAGTGACTTTTCTTTTAAGCAGTAAATTTGTGATGTCTGTTTATTCTCATTATGGTTTCCAATGTATTTACCCAGTTGGTAGAGAGTATTTGAAGTCTCCTATTATTTTTCTTTCCTCTGCCTTCACAGACTTAGTGATTTCACTTAGCATGCTGCAGCCACAGTCAACCATTTTCTGAGGGATTGACAGTATAGATGTAAGAATACACTTTCCCACTTCAACCTTAACTGTCAGTCCATCGGGGCTTTATATTAATAATTTCTGCAATTAACTAGGCCCACTTTGCTTATAGCAACAATCCTCTGTGGGTTGGCCATGATCTATTCTGTTCACGTAATGTGGGTTCTTTTTACTTGTGCTGTGATCTGTAAAGATTTTTGAAGAAATCACTATTTTCCTGAAGGCAGCCCCTTGCTTTGCCAAGCTGAAGCAAAAGCTATGTAAAGCTTTCTTAGAGATCTGTAGAAAATTACATGCTCCTAGCATGTGATTCTGACATTGCTTTCAGAGAAAACTGGTCTGCTTATAACTCACCTTGTCACAGATATATTAAATGGAAGAGCTTGAGAGAGGTCCTACAGATGTTTTCCATTTCATTAGTAATATTCAATTTTCAAATAGTTTCTCTTGTGTACCATTTTACTAGTCTTAAGTGGAATTTTTCTGCTCTTTCAAAAACATACAAACAAAAACCTTTCTGCAAGATAACCAAAGAAATCTCAGCATTTTATTATGTTAAAATTTTTGTATCTGTAAGTGCGTGCTCCAGGCATATGTCAATGACTGGGTGAATTTGGAAGTTACTGCTATTTGGGAAGTCTTTTTTCTGAACTTGAGATGAGTTGGAACAGAGGAAAAAAACCTAAATGAAGTGAAAAAGAAGATAAGGTGAAAGAAGGATTAAACAGAGAATAATAATTTGGGAGAGGGTGGATATGGATAGCGTCTCAGAGGAAATATGGTGGATTTACAGATGTGAGAATTGGAAATACAGGTTGTTTTGGAAATGGAGTATAAATGGCATATATATGCCTTGTACAAAAGTTAGAAATGTTACATTATAGAGAAAGATTGGTGAGAAGTACTTAAGACAACTTTGGACATGCTGAGCAGTTAAATTTTAAAATCTGTTCTAGGTAGAATGAGGAGATACTTCCACTCATTGAATGGTGTTTTGCCAAGTAGAAAATGAGTTAAGGTGATTTTGCATTTTTTAAAATGGTGCAGTGTTTTTAGATGAGAGAATGTATTACCTTTAGCACAGTTTTTTGCATGCATTTTTATAGTTTTAATAATAACACTTGTCAAAATGATTTTGATAGTTTTAAAGCAGAAGAAAAAAATGTTTCTAAAAACTAGGTTTTTAGTCATGCCACATTTTCAAATGTGTGAGTACAGCAGGTGCCACATAAGTTCTACTTGAAATCCCTCTTTTTTACCTCTTAAATATTCAGTGTTCTTACCTGTTTTAGAAAATACAGTAGAAGATTAAAGAGAAGTCATGTTGTCTTGCAATTTTAAGCAGGAAATAAAATTTTACGTTTAATATTAGATGGGTGTTTCAGAGGTCACTGTAGATTTAAGAGTAAGATATGCAATGGATTGTTTAGAAATGATTGCTTACACTCTTTGCAGTGCTTGCAAGTTGCTTAATTGGTATTGCAGCCGATACTCGGCCAATGTACTTGAAAGTCATAGGATATATTGTTAGAATGGCTATAACTTCTGTTACAGGGTGGGAGTCATGATAAAAATGGAGAAGAGAGTTCATAAAAATGAAAAAAACCTGAAGAATTTGTAATTGAATGAAAGCTCTTTTCTTGATAGTATAAGTGACTATTCAGTTTACCACAGAATGATTTTTGAACTATTTTAATGGGTGAAATGACACATGAATTGGTAAATATTTCTCTTATAAAAAGCAGCATTTCTTCTGAGCACTTCAAACCCGGAATTGATTGCATATTCTTTATGTGATTCATTCTCAAGCCACATAAAGAATATGCAATTCTTCTCAGCATATTTTTTGTGGCAACTTAAAAGCTTTTTTCTTTTTCTCCTTGACAGAAAGTAGTAACATTGTCTATCATCATTCCTGAAAGTTAACGACATGTAGCTTAATTGCCATCCAATATATTTTTATATATCAGAATTATAATTTCTTTTTTTTAATTATTTTCACAGGGTATAAACGAAGAATGATGCAATAATAATGCTTTCTGTGTACAGCCCCATAAGGATTTTTTCTAAGGAGTTGCAGTAACATAAACACTGAGAATAAATTTTCACCGATACAATGTGGTGAAGCAGAGGAACTGAAATTGTCCACTTTTGTACAGGCTGAGGACTTAAAATGTTTGTTGTTTTATGAGCAGAAGCAGTTCTGGAGTGAATAGAACTTCTGAAAATGCGGCCATGGACTGGTTCCTGGCGTTGGATTATGCTTATCCTCTTTGCTTGGGGAACTTTACTCTTTTATATTGGTGGACACCTGGTACGAGACAGTGAGCACCCGGATCACTCTAGTCGTGAATTATCCAAGATACTTGCTAAACTTGAACGTTTAAAACAGCAAAATGAAGACTTAAGACGGATGGCGGAATCTCTCAGGTAGGATCTAAAAGAAAACGGTTGAAATGTGAAATATCAGAAAATAAATTGAAAGAGTTGTTTGTGGGGTTTTTTATCAGATAATGTTTAACATTTAAAAATATAGATCAATGTTTTAATCAATGCTATAACTAACTGAATATATATTGCAAACCCTTTAAACAAATAATCTACATTTAGTTTTGGTCTAATATAGTTGTTATTTAACAGTCATTATTTAATGGTGTCCAAAGGGTTACTGTCACTATAATAGACTTCTGTAGGTTATTAACTCCTCAATGCCAACTTCAAACATGTGCAATTAGTATGACATTCAAACCAGTTGGAACAGTTGGTGACTTCTCTATACATGCAGTAACTGGAAGAGCTTGTTTTAAAAGTGCTGAAGACATTTGTATAGCTTGTTGAAGATGAATGTGGACTTGCTGAAGATGAGCTGCAGTAGACTACTGCATTATGATTTCTTTTAACTAAGTTGTTTTCCTTGCCCTGCTGCTAAACTTGTAGAAATACTTGTAAAATAGTAGTATTATCTCAATTTTTGTAATAATTATGTTATAGATGGGCACAATTACAGTTTAAAGTGTTTTCTTTCATTTTTCAGACAAACAGCTTTTAACCTAGACTTCTGGTATCTCCTTTTCTAAGAATTTGCAAGTGAGAGCTTCTTAGGCAGGATGTGTGCCAGATTTAGACTAGTCCTAAGTACATGGACATTAACACACACAACCTACAAGTCCTGATGAATTGTGGGGACAAGTGCAGAGGCTTTGTATGTTGTAAAAATCTAGAGAAGGTCAAAGCTTAGTACAAGACAGAATGGGAGGGTGATGTTTATTTTTTAAAATCTCTAAGTGAGCTGAATTCACTTGCTGTCTCTTTCCCAACTACATACTCACAAGCACCAGGACACGTGTGTAGAGGTTGTCAGGCCAGGATCACCTGTGTAGAACATGCAAAACAAGGGGCACTGGTAGTTGAGTCTTCATCATGTCTCTTGGGTGGTTCTTGCCTTGCAAGGAGAAACTGACTTTTGGACTTGTTTTTTAATACCCTTTGGGAGCAGATGACATTTTGGATCTTCTACTTTGCTATTTTGCTTCATAAAACATAGGGAAAATTACAGAATTGCACAAATCTCTTTGTTTCTCTTACCAGGGTGTTTTATGGTTCTAGTCCTGTTGTTGGACTAAGTCAGATTGTTTCTCCCCTTATTGTGGTTTAAGCTCAGAGGGCAGCTGAGCACCACACAGCTGCTGGCTCACTCCTTCCCCCTCAGGGATGGGGAGGAGAAAATAAAACAAAAGGCTCTGGGATCAAGGCAAGGACAGGGAGCAATGACTCACCAGTTATGGCCACGGGCAAAAGGCAGACTTGACTTCGAAAGAAAAAGGAACATCAGTTTAATTTGACCACCACCATTAATTTACCAGTCAGAGCAGGACAGAGAGAAATACAACCACAGCTTAAAAACACCTTCCCCCCCACCCCTCCCTGTTTCCCAGGCTCAAATTTTCTCCCGATTTCTCTCCCTCCTCCCCTCCCTGCAGTGGTGCAGGGGGATGGGGAATGGGGGTCATGGTCAGTTCATCACCCGTTGTCTCTGTCACTCCTTCCTCAGTAGGGGAGGACTCCTCACACTCTTCCCCTGCTCCAGCGTGGTGTCCCTCCCACTGGAGACAGTCCTCCATGAACTTCTCCAACATGAGCCCTTCCCATGGGCTGCAGCTCTTCCTGAACTGCTGCAGCGTGGGTCCCTCACATGGGACCCGCAACAGACTGCCCCAGCGTGGGCTTCCCTCAGAGCCCTGGCTTTCTTCAGGTGCAGCCCCCTGCTCCAGTGTGGGGCCCTTCACGGGCTGCAGGTGAGCATCTTCTCCCCCAGTGACCTCCATGGGCTGCAGGGCACAGCCTGGCCTCTCCCTACGGACTGAGGGGAGCCTCTGCTCAGGTGCACCTCCCCCCGTCCCCTCCCCCGCCCTTTCTTCAGCTGACCTTGGTGTTTGCAGAGGTATTTCCCTCACAACCCCAACTCCTCTCTGGCTCCCCTTCTTAAATCTCTTCGTATCACAGAGGCACAGCCACCGTTGCTAATTGGTCTAGCCTTGGCCAGAGGTGGGTCCTACTTGGAGCCAGGGGAGCTTCTAGAAGCTTCTCACAGGAGCCACCTCTATAGCTCCCTCCCCTCCTACCAAAACCCCACCACACACAAATCCAACCCACTCCTTCATTTGAATGAAATCACACCTGTGGACTCTGTAGCAGTGAAATGAGTATGTTTCCTCTCAACCCTGCTTGTTCTGGTACATTCTCTCTCTTTCATGCACAGCCAGGGCTATTTGATCTGGTATGCTGGGTGGCCTTCCCTGCCTTACTGAAATTTCTTTTCACTACATTCTGTCCAGATTTCTGGAATGCACTGTAGGTACGGCTGCATGCTGATGAGGCTTCTTAGCTTAGGAAAACAAATGTTTTAGTTTTGAGTGTGTCAGCCCTGAAGAAGTACTTCAGCATTCATGTGGTGCTGCACAGAGGTGGAGAAATGATGCTGACCCAAGTGCCCTCTATGCTAAGCGTAGAGAATCTTCACCTTGAGTAGTATGGCCATGAATGGCTGAGTGGGCTGTAGTTTTCTAAGCTCAATTTATACATATGGGATAACAACTGCACTGGCAAAAAGTTTAACATATTTTTGTTGACAAAATGGTGTAGAGTATGCTGCGATGAAGAAACTTAAGCAACATCCTATATTTGAATAAATACAGTATTTTAAAATTCCTTTAATACTAGATAGTAATAGTCAACCTTAGGGTTTCTTTTCTCAGAGGGGGAAATATTTGGCCTTGAATGTAAAGATTATCACCCTCCATGCTTTCAGCACCCCATATTTGGCTGACCTGAATAAATGCTCATGTGATGTGTTGCACAGTCATTGAAATATAACCAGTTCAAATTACACAGTGACTAGAAGAGAATAAACGTTCTTGATTTTACTGATGGCAGGGTATTTTTTTCCTTTCAAGATGGAGGCAGTAGAGACAGGCTATGCATAGATACAGGTTATATTGTAGGCAGTGATGATTTTTCTAAACACCTTTCTTTGTTTACCTCACCTATCTATATTCAGATAAATATTACATTTTCAGTGGCCAAGTTTTAAATAATAGCTTATACTGTTGATAATTTCCCATGATTTGTAGAAATAAAAACATTAATCTAGTTCTAATCTAAACACGTTAGAATATTCTTTCTCTATGCGTTAATTGCTGCAAGTTTCTGGAATTAGATTGAATGATCCAAAACTGTCGTAATTGGATTCTGTTCAGCTTCTTTTTTTTTTTGTAAGTATGCTACTTAAAAATATTTCTGAAGCGTTTCTGTAGCCACAGAAGAATCTGAGTGTCTTGCATGAGAAAGCCTAAAATGACTTTAAATGGTAGTTTGAACACCAACAAATCTCCAGGTTCAGTAGTCAGTGCTGGCCAGAACTGAACCAGCTTGGGACTGGAAGATATTCAGGCATAGGGTTTTTTTTCTGGAAGTGATCTGAGATTGGCAAAGTACTAGACTTTGAGGGAAGTGATGTATTACAATATAGAGCCTTTTCATTATGTTTCTTGAGCAAAAGCTGTGACACTGTTTTTATAGAAATTTCACAAATAGGTTTGAAAAATATCCTGGTCAACCTGCATCATTGAAGCATAAAATTATAAATGTGATACAGAATGTCAGTATCTCACTTCTTTGTTGGCCAGATATAACAAGTGTTAAAAATAAGCATTAGCTTTGAAATCATCCTATTTACAGTTTTATAGCAATATAGCTACTTAAAATGAGGCATTAGCCAACAGTTCATGGATTCAGTATCTGAGTCCTGGAAGAGATCACTGCTGCTACAAGCTTATATTAAAGAAACAAAAACATCTGTAAATCCAGAAATTGAACTAGGATTAGACAGAAAAGATTACTTTTGCTCCACTTAACATGGAAGTAAAGACATAATTTGTTTTAGTCTTTACTGATCAAAGGCAGAAAGGGTGGAACTATTATTTGAATATGATTTAATTGCTAGAATTTCTGGTTTTGTACTTAAAATTTTCATTACTGATACTGGTTGTGAAATCTGAGTGGTTAAGACAACAGTTGTTACATCAGTGTAGCCTGTAAACGTAAATCCTATTGCCAGGTTGGATTTAGTTACACGGAGGTAAAAACTTGGGTTTACTTCCCTTATCCACTAAGATTTATATCTAGAGAACTAGAGGGTTTTTTTATTCCAACAGAAAAGAAGCACACGTTTTGCTGTGAAGATATAAAATATATTCTGGCATGCAACAGGGTTAAGCTAATGCATGAATTTAAGCGTATTTCAATAATAACTCTTTAAGGTTACTTTGGTAGGAGTTTAAACAAAATGAGAGTGCTTACCTGGAAAATTTTAACAGGCAACTGATTAACTACACTAGCTAAACTATTTTGTCATAATTTGGTAAAACTTTTGGATGGTAAAAAGCTCTGAGTTAACAGAATTTGACTTAGTAGGCAAAGAAGCTCTGTGAATGGTAGAAAAGTACTGTAATATCTAGCTATGCCATTAGTAATAGCTACTTAGGGCAGGGAGGAAGGGATCGAAAGCAGGTATGGTCATAAGAATTCGGTAGTTCAAAAAAAGTCTAAGTTTTTGTAACAATTTCCATTTTGAAGTCAGAAAACTGGTATTTCATGTTTAATTACATTGGGACTTTAGTTATATGGTAAAATACTTTTCAATACGTTTCAGTTGCCTGGCATTTCCCATTACAATGGGTTCTTGTGACTTCTCTGACTCCCTTCTCACTGATAAAAGTGTCACTCCTCAGGATGGTTGAAAATAGGAACTGGGCTATGCTTAGTTTCATCCAGCCATCCATGAATGCCAGTATATAGCAGCAGGATGTGATCTTTCCACTCTGAGGTTTGAAAGCTATTTTGCTGCTGATTTATGAAGCAGCTCCTCCTCC